AAACAAAACTCAAAACCACATGGCTAATTTGCATAAACTATAAGAACTGGAAAAAACAGCTCACTCGCTCTTACTCTGCGACACTCATGAATACAATAGCCTTAATACTTCGACAATCCATCAAGCGGTGTGGCTTCGTAGTTTACCAAAGTTGTGCTAGAACATTTTGACAGATTTTTGAGCACCGTGTACCACATAAAATCGGTTCGAGGTCAGTAAGCACAACCAGAATTAATACATAATGCGCACCGGATTATAAGGTGCACTGTCGATTTTTGAGACAATTAAAGGATTTATTGCAGCTTATAGTCCAAAAAATACGGTACATAGTGCACCTTTAGATTATCCTATAAACTATGAAACGCTTTCACTTACTGCACAAATAATTTACAAAGCTTTTATTTGTCCAGAATGGAAAAATAATAAAATCCTATGCTATACATTTTAAAAGGCATTTTGTTGGACGAGAACCTTTAGGAAGCAACTGCCAGGGACAGACCGTTTTATCCAATTGTTGGATAAGAACCGAGTAGAAACAACTGCGTGACTATCTCAAGAGAGCAGTTGTTTTTCTGTCATGATTCAACATCTGTGTGAGAGAAGGAGCTAAGTGGCTTGTGCTCATTTATTATCAGCTAATTCTGTCATTATCCATTTTCTCAAAATTGGATACTGGCCCTTTAAACATTCTTTCTTTCCAGTTTAAATTGTTGATCTAATTTCCAAACCTTTTAGCTTTGATTTAATATTGAAGATAAGGAGTAACTGTATTGCTCTAAGTCAGCCTTCTCAAATTATCTAGCTTTAATTCGAATGTTTTGCAGGATTTATCGTCAAAAGTATCGAAAATCAGATTCTAAAACTAGTATCGAAAGTAGATACTCATTTGAGCAAGTGTCAGTACTCAAAAAGTCACATGTTTTTGGATACTACTATGATTTAATGTGGAAAATGTCATCATGGACTACTGTGGTACTAGTATCGAGTCTCTTCAAGTTTGAAAGTACTGTGAAAAACTACACACGTGTCAAATCATTTTCGCTGACTTCTCCATAGTTTTGTGTGACTAAGCACATCTTGTAAAAACATGACTTTGAAATACACCGACTTGAGTGCACCATGACTACTGCTTTACTTATTTCCACGTTTGACCCCGCTATGACTCACTCCCCTCTGACACCCCCTGGCTCTTGGAGGGGAAAGTGCGATGATTTCTGTGACTGGCAGCTTCTAACACAACTTTCCACATAAGACCAGGGCACACAAGTGAAAACGCAGCACACTGTCACGGATGAGCGCAGTATTTACAGAGACATGTCCAGAGCGCTCCTGTCTGTCTGCTCCTCAAATGTATGCCCTCTCCCAGAATGCATCTGTCTGTCCGTGAGACCCTTCTCCACCTCTGTTCTGCTCGTTTTCCTCCTGCTCCGTCTGTCTTCGTTTGAGAAATTTGCCAAAAGGGACACATTCGGCTTCACATGTGTTTCTCCGGCTGGGTTTGATTGGACCAAGTTTTTTTTTTTTTTTAACAAGATGGCATCCTTGTGTGTCAGCTATACATAAACAAAAACACACGTCTGTCTAAAGTGGGGCTGCACAATATATCTAAGGATCAAGCTTTTTCAGTTACAGTACCAACACTTTGCCTTTTGTAGCTGATGACAACCGATACCAGAGTACAGACTGAAAAAGACGTTTAATTTCTATCCAAACACAGTTAACTAAATACAACAATCATCCAATTGTATTATTTATCCAGCAAGTAACTGTTTAACAGTTTTGTACAAATAAAATGTCAAACATTTTGAGACATTCTAACATTAGTCAGTGAATAGTCCGATAAAAGACCCAACCAGGATATCAGCTCAACCAATATTTATTGGACCAGTACCCAAACCAGCTCATTTTTCTAGTATTGGTACATCCCTAAATATACCACAAAAGTATTGATATTGTGATAAAGACTGATGCAATAATTGATATTCCAACATACTCAATATATTACAGTAACACCAAGGTTCACAAAAATTCATATTTTATTTTTTATTGAAAAGTATATGTTAAATAAAGCAGATTTCCCAAAATTCACCTTGTTAATCCAGATTTCACCTCTGTTAAATCCACTAGCCAATTAAAGCATGTATTTTTTTCTGGTGCCATCAAAAATATCACGTTATTAATGAGTTAACACAAAACAATTTTAACAGCGTTTTCAATTTTTTTTATTTATTGTGAACCATTTTTGTTTTATAAGCTGTGGCCACTGCTAGTAATTTTAGAAAAACTACAGGATCTGGCTGTAAACAAGAAGGAAAATCTATCATATCTGTCTTAATAGATACTTCTGCCGCTGGACTTATTTTCTCTGCTAAAGCATTAGATTTACGCGACATGTAAACAAACAGTGCAGTGTGATGACGTCATGGCCCTTAGTACAGCAGCGTTGGGGTGACAAACCCGGTCGCAAACACAGTTGCAATTAAAAAACAAAGCCTATCCCAATTTTCTGTTAATACGAGTAGTAAAATGATTATTCAGGGGACAAAAGTGTGTAGTTAATTTGCGATTAATTGCAAGTTAACTATGACATTCGTGAGATTAATCACTTTTAATATTTTAATTGATTGACAGTACTAATATTTTCTCATAACTGAACTCAAAAAGCATTGCAATAGTATTATATCGCAGTTCTTGGCATATCGCAACATTTTCCAATATTGTGCAGCCGTAGTTTAAAGCAATATTTTTGCTTATATTCTGATATAGCAGGGGCAAAAGCTACAGTCACCAGTACAATAAGTACTTTAAAGAACAGTATAAAAGCAAATATAGAACCACGGGCTGTGCATAGTGCCAATTTTGAGTGCCTAATTCCAGACTTGAACCAGCAACCCTTGGATTTAAATGTGTGCTCTGATTAGCTTCGGATTGTTGGTAAGAAAAATAAAAATATCTCAGCAATATACAAGAGGTCGTACAGAATAAGTAATCTTGAGTTGTCTTGTAAAAAAATTCAGTTGAAAGGCTGAACACTTAAAACCAGACAAGTTTTATCTTTTGGAGCGAACTTCAATACTTCTTTTTCTTAAGTTATCTTCTCTTGTCTCTTGAAAACTTTGCACAGACCCTTTTAAGAGTGTGTTTAAGGCCAAAAGTGGCTGTCTCATAGGAGCTCTTAGCACCTCGTCTATTATTGAAGAAGCCATCCCTTTCACCCTGTTATCGCTTCAGTGCGTTATCATGGCTAAAGTTTAATGGAAGATTTTTTTTTTTTCGTTTTGTTCTATTCGCTCACAAACACTCGCATAGAAAAACCTTTATCATCACTAGCAGCTTGTCCAAAAATGTACACCCAGATTATGATTAATAAAGAAATGAAAACTAGATTCTCTCATTCTAGATTCTCTCTCAGGTATTATCACTGTTGGGCAAGTTACTTCAAAACTGTAATGCGTTATTTATTTATTACTTGTTACTGTTGTTTCAAAGTAATTTGTTACATGACAATAGTACTGTATTTACAATGTAAGACATTACACAACTACTGCAGTACTTTAAGTTACTCTCAACAAAATAACTTATTGTCAAATAGTGAGCGGAGATGCTGGACTTTTGCACCATATATGGACTGAACCAGGACTAAACCAGGATTAAACCAGGACTAAACTAAGACTAAACCAGTTCTAAACCAGAACTGAACCAGGACTGAACCAGGACTGAACCAGGAGGACTGAACCAGGACTAAACCAGGTCTAAACCAGGTCTAAATCAGGACTGAACTAGGACTAAACCAGAGCTGAACCAGGACTGAACCAGGACTAAACCATAACTGAACCAGGACTAAACCAGGTCTAAACCAGGTCTAAAAACGAACTAAACCAAGACTAAACTAGGTCTAAACCAGAACTAAACCAAGTCTAAACCAGGACTAAACCAGGTCTAAACCAGGTCTAAACCAGGACTAAACTAAGACTAAACCAGGTCTAAACCAGAACTGAACCAGGACTGAACCAGGACTGAGTCGAGACTGAACGAGAACTAAAGTAGGACTAAACCATAGCTGAACCAGGACTAAACCAGGTCTAAACCCATACTAAACCAAGACTAAACTAGGTCTAAACCAGAACTAAACCAAGTCTAAACCAGGAATAAACCAGAACTAAACCAGGTCTAAACCAGGTCTAAACCAGGACTAAACCAGGCCCAAACCAGGACTAATCTTGGACTAGGACTTGGAATCTAGGACCGCCCCTGAGAGAACCCCGAGCTCATGTCTGCAAAGTGTGAATGGGTGTCAGCTGTGTTGAGCCCCGTGGAGCTCGGACTTCTGCACCAGTCCTTTCACCCGCAGTCACTCGACGGTCTATGCGGGCGCACCTCTGGGCACGTCCCGACATTTGGAACCGTAACAATGGCGTTTTGCAAAAAGAAAAACCCACCACTTCAATCCAGATTTAAAATCCATTGCGACGGGTGTTACTGACATTTGTACAGAGTAAAATATTACATTTTTTTCCCTGTAATGCCTTACATTACTGTGTTACAGCAAAAAGCAATGCATTACAGTAATTCATTACTTTTACAACGCGTTTCTCCCAACACTGGATATTAATACAAAAAATCTAAATCTTCTTATGATGTGTGAGATACTGTGTCCAGGTAATTTCCCTTGTGGATCAATAAAGTTTGTCTAAGTCTGTATATGTCTATGTCTATGGCTCCTATTTTGTGTTGAAAATTGCCGTCTGTTGTTTTAATAATCATTGTAGTATCAAAATCTCCATCGAATCCCAAGCCATTTCCCTTTAATGTATTGTGACACCATAACTGGAACCTCTCAGAATGTACACTTAAATTATTGGGTTTTCTTTTTACTACCACAACATGAAAACTTCCAAAAAATGTGGAAAAATGGCTTTTTAAACGTATTGCATATTTTGTCGGATTTGGCTCAGACTGATCCTTTAACACTAATGGTATTTTTCCTCTGTGTCTTCCAGGTCTGTCCACGGCCAAGAGGAAATTCGCTGACTCCCTGAACGAGTTTAAGTTTCAGTGTATCGGCGATGCAGAGACGGACGACGAGATGTGCATAGGTAACATAATCCTGCTTCTGTTCTGAAGGGGGGGTCGGAAATTGCTCTGATCTGGGGTTGGAAATAGAACAAATTTATCAGCAGGAAACAGAGGGTTATTTATGGCCCAGACGATCAAAGATGTCTGCTATTTTAAGAGATTGTGTTCTTTTCTTCAATTCTGGTCTATTATAAATGACACAGCTTTCACACTTTCAAACATAATCAATGACAGAAGATTCAGTATACTAGTTTGATAAATATAGAAAACAATTAGGTGCATGACTGTTGACAGAATCATTTGTTGAAAAAGTTATTTTTTATGTGTAGGATTTTAGGTGCTTGTATATTTTTCTTGCTTATGCTTCACCTTTCATTGTCTATGAGAGTGTAGCCAGGCTGGTGCCACCTCGTGCCTCTGCTCAATTTCATTTCTCTCCAGAGACTAGGTCAGGAATCAGAATAAACTAGACAGTTTGCAAGAAACCCATAAGTGCGAGTCTGGGCACCAGCCAATCAGTGAAGAGCCATACATTCTGTGTTGGCAATGATTCCCAAGATCGAAGATTTAAAGCAAAGAAAACAAAGAACATTTTTGGTGAATTTTATCAAGGGGAAAGACGTTATTGCCCTTCTTCCTACAGGATTTGGGAAAAGATTCCAATTAGCCCCGTTAGCGGTGCATTACATATGTCATGACCAAATAGCAGAGATTGGTTAAATTTTAAAAAAGTACCCGCGAACCATCAAGTGAACGAATCCTAATGCTGCAGGGTCAGATAGTTTCACTTCGTGGAAATCGAATGAATCAGACTAATGACAGTGGCCCTCAAACTTTTCACCGCAAGTAACAGCAAAGAAAAGTTTTTCCGAGTATCACCAGATCAAAACCAGGTCTATAACAGGACTATTCCAGATCTAATCTAGGTCTAAAGCTGGTCTAAAACAGGACTACGTCACATACATACATAGACATGCTGTAAACAAGAAATAGAATGAAAGTGGTGGGTGTGTGTGTTTGAATGATGATGGTGGTCGGCGGCGGCTGATGGTGCAAATTGGCAGCCGCACTTTCATCTTTGTGACATATGTCTGTGAAAAGTATTATATAAAAATAAACTTACTTGCTTAATTCAATTTTCCAAAGACAAAAGCTGTCCAAGTACCACCTGAAAGAGCTTGCGCACCACAGTTTGAGAAACACTGATCTATGACATCAGTTATTATTGTGTGTGACATTATAAAATGTGCTAACCTGGTTCATCCCAGATTGATGTGTGTAGCATTGAGTTCTACCCATGATCAATCTGGGATCCTCTCACTGAAAGAGATTGGAAAACACAAACCTCATGATTATTATTTGAATCTGGCCTTACCTTCTGCACGTTTTTCACAACCAAAATAGTCTGTATTTTTGCAAAAATACACTGAAGTATGTCTGTTGGTGTCGCCGTGTTTGTTTTGGTTTATTTGGGCGCGTGGTCTTTAGCTTCTGCACAAACCTCAGTGCTGCTCTGTGATTGGTCCATGAGCCCGCTTAACCTTACAGCGAGAGTCTCTCAAGATGGATTATTGTGAGTTTGTGAACTCACAATAAAACTGTGCAACACCCATAGACCGTGTATATAAATGGTACGCCGCCTTGTTCCATATAGGAAGTTCACATGTGGGCGTTTCTGGCTCCTTTGACCCTGGCTCCCATTGACTTACATTAGAATCTTGTCCTTTCTCTCTGTAACTGACACTGTAAGCTTTGTCATTTTGGTCTTAAAATGTTCATATTAACCCACTCTAAATGATACTGGTGGTTTGATTTTTTTGCTGTTTTATCCGTCAAAAAAATCCTATTCATAACATAGATCCTGACTCCAGATTCGCTCCTGTAACACTTACTTTGTCCACTTTTTTATACAGTCTGTAGCAATACCATAAAAAGCTATACAGTTTCTGATGAAATGTTGCGAACAGTCTTGCCCAACATAGCATCAATCCTTTAGTTCATTTCCATGTCTCCCCCTGGCTGGATCTGTCCACCTCCCCACTCTTCTCTCCCTCTCCCTGACCCGACCCACCCAGCCTCTGTTTAACTCTCACAGATATCTGTCCTGAACAGCTTGTCTCTGCTGGACTCCATGACCCTCTCTTGTTTAGGCTATTCATAGTCCCACTTGATGCATTATGGAAAAGGTGAAGCTGGAATTTGACTCACATTGTACAGCACAAAGCCAACCTAGGCATTTTCACATTCAAATCAATCAAAGTTCAAAAATAGTGCTCAAATAAAAATGCTTTATTCGCTCGTGATTATTAATATATTTCATGCATTTTCATTTTGTGTGTCTCTTTTAGCCAAATCCCTCCAGGAGTTTTCAGCTGTGCTTCAGAACCTGGAAGATGAGAGGACGCGGATGGTAAGAAAGACTCTTATTGAGTACGGGAGAACGTTAATGAGTACATGTTATCGATTGCAAAGTTGTCGATATTTTTTTCCTCAACAAAGATTCCCAATTTTGCAAATACAAGCTCCTGATACTTTGCAGCTGATGTCATCAACATTCCTGGAGGGTGTGATGTAAGAGAACTGTAAGACTGCTCTATCTGAGGCTTGTTAGACTTTAATCTGAGCTTTATTTTAACACGATCGGACTAGAAAGAGCTCGTGTAGTTGGATCAGGTGAGATGATTTGTCCTCTTAAACACAGTCACAAGCCAGCTAGAAGTTTTTATTTATTTTTTTAATCAGTCACCAGTTTTTTCAGTTAGTCACTCTCACCTTTTTTTTTTTTTTTTACTGAAAATCAAACTCCTAAACAGGACCATGAATGCTTGTAGTGATTAAAATGTTCTGTTTAAATCCATTTTTTTTCTCAAGTTCCTAAAACTTTTTTTTTACACTGTTTGCATTACGTCACCATGGTAGCACCTGAACATTCCACCGTACAGATACATGTAGAACACCCCAAATGTGACGTCGCTGCAAAGTATCAATACAAGTCATGGGTAATGAACAACTATGAAGTGTGGAAACATACACTACCGGTCAAAAGTTTTAGAACGACCTAATTTTTCCAGTTATTTATTGCAATTCAAGTCGTGCAAGTCCAATGAAGAGCTTGAAATGGTACAAAGGTAAGAACTGAACAGCCAGAGGTTAAAAAAAAAAGATAAAAGAATAAAACACAAGTAAAAAGCTCTGCCAAAACTACCTCAGGAAAAAAGAACAAGATGGTAAAACTTGAAAACATCTAGTGTCCAGCACAGTCTCCAGATTTAAACCCCATCGAGTTGTTTTGGGATGAACTGGACAGAAGAGTGAAAACCAAGAAACCTACAAGTGCCACACATTCATGGGAACTTGTGCAACGGACTTGGGAAGAACTTTCTGAAGAATATTTGATTTCTATTGTAAAAAGAACGAGCCACGGGTGTGTTCAGCTGTTATATCTGCCAAAGGTGGACACTTTCATGAATCAAAAGTTTAGAATACGTTTTGGTCAACAGTAAACAGTAAAAAACTGGAAAAAATGTGATGTTCTTCTAAAACTTTTGACTGGTAGTGCATAAGAATCTATGACTTCTGAAAGGACTAGATTATAATCGTAGTTAGTGTACTGGAAGAACTATAGGACTGTTATCGACTAAAGATCTTGGTCTGATTTCTTGCCTTGGGTAATTGGTAATGGAGTGTGCTCTCAAAATTCAATTTCTATGATACAAATGTATATATTACCCAAACTGCACTGACTAGACAAGAACAATTACCAGTAAAAGGCAAATTAAAGGTGCATTGTGTGACTTTTCTGGTACAGGGTCTGCAACCTGATGTTATTGCTTTGCCTTGAAAGTTCTGCAGTATGGCATTAAACTTTCTATGAAGACAACCAAATGATACCAGGCAAAGTTAAGAATGTATGGTTTTCAGTGTATTTCTGAGCATAAGATACATAAGTCTAATGCCATACCATGGAACATTCTCTGCTTGTGTGGAATATCTCTGCTTATCATGCTTACATATTCATATCACATCTAATACATAACTTTATATTTATTTATTTACAGCGCACCTGTTCATATATATCTTTTGCTCATTTATATACGTCATATATATTTATATTTTTTATAGCACACCCTGAATATTTATTCATAGTATCTACATCTGCTTATATATCCCCCATGTATATTAAATCTAATTCCCTCCAGTTCATACTGCCATACTTATTTATTTGTACATATTCACTACAATCTACAGTGTAATAATCTGTATTAGGGGTGGGCGATATCTCGATATTTTTAATATATCGAGATTTTTTTTAAACTCGATATGAATTCTGACATATCGTATATATCGATATAAGCTTATATTCAATTCTGATTTCGCCACTTTGCTTGTTTGTCTTCTCTGTCGCCTCCGCGCGCCTCCGCCTCCCTCATGTCTCATTCACTCGTCACTATCGCCGTGAACGCCGAAAGTTGGTGCCAGTGAAAAGCTTCTAGCGCCACGAACCTTTTCCACCGTTTACAGACAAAAGCATCAGCAGCACATCCTCACATTCCACTGAGTCGCGTCCTTTAGTCCAAAAGAAGTTGAACCGCAAGAGCGGCACGTGGAGTGCGCTGTTTATGCAAATTAGCCATGCGCTTTTTAAGTTTAGTTTCTGTAAAACTTAAACAAGTCTGCGCAAAGCTGCAAAAAAAATAACACTATAATCTCAAACGGGCTGATGTGGCTCTTGAGTCGTTATGCTATATATCTTGTAAAGTTTAGTAATGTAAATTCTATTTATGCAGAAGATTTTAATTAATAATCTGCTGCAGTGTCACTTGTACAAAAGTGTTTGGAAACGTTGGGTTTGATCTGCAGTGGATTGTGGGAAACCTCAGAGCTCCTACTGCTGCATAGGAACATGGATCTGTTAAAATAAGGAACATCTTCTGCTGAAGGAGCTCACGGTTATGAATATGGTCTGGATAACAGAGTTAATGCAAAGATGAGCTTGTGTTGAGTTGTTTTATTTATGAATGAAAGAAAGGAAATATGTTTTATTTCTTTTATTTGACAGTTTAATTATTATTTATGTAATTAGGGTTTTTTGTAATCTTAAATGTTCCTATATGAACTGCCGACCTCTTACACTTTAAATTGAAAAAAAAGGGACCTTGTGGAATTTGGCAGATTTGTTTTTGCAGTTTTCCGTTTTAAGGGGTTATTTTTTCCTGTACAGATATCGAGATATATATCGTATATCGAGATATAGCAAAATATATCGAGATATATTTTTTGATCCATATCGCCCAGCCCTAATCTGTATATTGTCTATATTGTACATAATCCACATTCTGTATATATCACACTTGCTGCTCCTTGCACTTCTGATTAGATGCTAAACCACATTTCATTACCTTGTATATATACATATGTAATGACAATTAAGTTGAATTTAATCTAATCTAAATTCAAGGCAAATCAATAATATTGGCACCAGAAAAGTGACAAAGTGCACCTTTAAGTCTGTTAAAATGCAGTGTAAATTCATCAAATCTTCATCTTACTCACTGCCTTCATTATTTTGTTGTGTTCTATATAAATCTTTTTAATCCTAATGAAATAATAGTGGATCAATAGAAATTTTGGACAACTCCGTGAATCGACTTAACAACTAAAAGACTACAGCCATAAAACACTGTAACTTTTAAAAAATACTTGATCTTCCAAATTTGGATTTCCTTAGACTCGAACAATTTATGAAGTGTTGCTTACTTTAGTTTCAAAATGAGCATCTGAATGTGTTGTGTTGTGAAAAAGTCTAATATTTCTTGCCCTTTTTTTGACTTTTTTTGTATTCTTTGCTCAAAAAGCCTTAAATCTGAAGTTAGCCTGCTTGATAATGGAATAAAAAATATACTGGAATTACAGGCTTATTTTATCAATAACAGTTTTGGTAGGTTTTTAGTGATAGATGATGTAACAGCCATTTCGGATTTGATAAGTGGTTTTGCTCCAGGTTTTATGAGTCAGAACAACCGCCCACATCATTCACAACAATTTTTGATTTTTTTGTTTTGCAGTTGAATAACTTTTCACAGCTTGCTTATGTTATAATGTTTTTCCTCATCACGAACATACTTGGAGTTGTGTTTTGTGTCATTCACGCATGTTTAACACACAAACCCTGCATATTTAGGTATTTAGAGTTCTTCTCTCAAACGAAAAACACTCTGCTCTACCTTGTGATGTCATGGGGTAATACTGGAAGTGCTCCACTGGGTTTTTAATCTCCTTACACCTTCACTAGAATAATTTGAATCGTTTCAGATCAGGAATTGGTCATCTTTACTGAAAAAAGTTAAAGGGATTTGTTAAAGCTCCATGACATCACAAGGTGGAACAGCATTTTGAGCTTTGGAGATGTAGACAGACTAGTGGGGATGTAACAGTAATCGAAATATCGCTATATCGTATCGTCGAGTCATACAATAATATGAAATAACTTTTATGAAGCACTTTTAAATCTTAATTATTGGGACTGTGTTGAGAGAAAAGTAGCATAATCTGTGTATCATTTGTTCATTTGTTTTTCAAAATAAAACCAAAAATAAGAAAAAATAAAAAATCCATTATTTGTCTCCAAACCAGGAAGAAAAAAACAGATGATGATTTGCTTTTTTAGTTTTCGATTTTGTGTTTAAATTAACAATGGAATAAACGTTTCCTATTTCTGTGACTTAAACTGCGATGCCGGACTTTTGCACCGCATACAGACTGAACCAAGACTAAAACAGGACTAAAACAGGTCTAAAACAGTTGCAGTCCTGTTCTGGTCCCAGTCTGGTCCCTGTCTCAGTCCTGGTCTCAGTCCTCATCCTGGTCCCGGTCTCAGTCTTGGTCTGGTCCTGGTCTTAGTCCCGGTCCTGGTCCTGGTCCGGTCCTGATTTCAGTCCTAAACCAGGACTAAACCAGGACTAAACCAGAACTAAACCAGGACTAAACCAGAACTAAACCAGGACTAAACCAGCACTAAACCAGAACTGAACCAGGACTAAACTAGGACTGACCCACGAGTGTCGGAAATGGGAAAAAAATGTTATTCATTTAAACACAAAATCAAAAACTGAAAAAAACAAATCATTATCCATTTTTTTTAATTTTGGTTTTGGAGACAAATTATCAAGAAAATAGTTGTTTTTTCATTTTCTTATTTTTGGTTTTATTTTGAAAAACGAATGAACGAATGATACACAGGTTCAGCATGCTCACAACTTTGTATTTTTTCCACAAAATATCGCAATAAATATCGTACCGTGAGATGAATATCGTGAGAATATCGTATCGAGAGGATTGGATATCATTACATCTCTACAGACTAGTAAAAAAGCATTAATCAAATGTGTGTGAGCGAAAACAAAGCACAAATTCGGGTGTGTTTTTGAGGAGGTAACAGCTTTATAACACAAGTTTGCATAATATACTGTAGGACTTTCAAATATCTCATGTGCATTAAGTGTCTTGTTTTTCTTTGCAGATTGAAAATGCAAATGACGTTTTGATCATGCCTCTGGAGCGCTTCAGGAAGGAGCAGATCAGCGCGGCCAAGGTACAGACTACGAACTGGTGCACAGCCAATAACGCGGTGACAGAGAGGGACCCCCACACACCCAGGGCCATCGATACTGACTGTATTACGGAGAGCAGCGTACAGGGCTTCGTCTATACAGTCTAATAGTGGAAGCCTATAGGAACAGTGGTCAGATATTCTTGGACAAACGCACTGACCGCTACAGCAGAGAAATTATAGAGGCAATATTGACAGAAAAGGGAGGGCAGTCACTCACAGATGATGTTTGTGCTGCGTTTCACAGTAAATGCAGCTCATTATTGTGATTACATAGAAAAATCATTTTGCGCAGTAAATGAAAACTGCAAATCTATATTCTGCTATTGTCCCATACTCCCATAATAGTGTTGCTGCAATACCATTTTTTTATTTATTTTTTTGGTGGGTGGTCAATACCAACACTTGGCCTTTGTGTACTCATCGATACCGCTAAAAGTCCAATACCGCATAGTGGGAAGAAGCAGACTATGGCTAATCAATTGTGTTACAGTACAAAAACAAAAAATAGCTCAACTAAACAACTGTGTCTAAAGAAAATTGACAAGAATGTGATTTTGAGTGTGTTTCAAGTGTCTGCAGAGCCTCCACATCATATTTAACCTGCTCTGACCGGTAGTAGTAGCTGCAGACGTCTACAGCAGCTGCTCGCATCTATGAGTCCTCATTCAGGAAAATACAGAGTGGTACTGGATCGGTAATTTGATAATGGTAAAGGTATCGGTAACGATACCTGAAAAATGTGTAGTAGTTCAGTATTGCCAATAGAACAGTCCTACTCAAAAATGACAATGTCAGTGAAATGGTAATTGGAGGTTGTCAAAAGTATCGAAAATGTGATACTAATCAATATTAAAACTACTGTATTTTTCTGACTATACGGCGCACTTAAAATCCTTTAATTTTTTTCAAAAATCGACAGTGCGCCTTATAATCCGTTGCACCTTATGTATTAATTCTGCTTGTGCTTACTGACTTCAAACCAATTTTTATGTGGTACACTGCACTCAAAATGTTTTAGTTCGACTTTGGTAAACTACGACGTAGAAGTCTGTGTGGGTCAGAATTTTCTGTCCCACATCTGCGATATTTTATCTCGCTGCCACCCACAAATCCAGTAAGACAGGGATGTTCGCTTTCTTTAGCTCTATCAAACATGGAAGTGGAAAGGAATTGTCTAAAATGTGCGTGAGATTAGACCACATCCGCATGTTTAGGCTGCTGATAATGTTTTTATTAATGACAAATAAAATATCCAGCACAAATTACGTATTTTAGGCATACATTATTCATTTGTACACACTTTTACTTTACACTCATGTTTAGTTTGCAGGACTGCAGTTTATCAAAATCCAATGCACCTTATGTATGAAAATAATTGAGAGAATTCAACATTATGGAATATTGCGAGTTATAATCCGGTGCGCCTTATAGTCTGAAAAATATGGTAGTATTGAAACTAGATACTTAGTGTAAGTATAAGAGTACATAGACATATCGTATACATATACTATACACCCATCGCCAGTTTATTATTATGGAACCTACCTGGACCACTGAGGCATTACACAGATAAGACCACATGGAAATATAAAAGAAAGTACTACGACATAATGTTGAAAAGGACATTTACTGTCTAAATGAAGGTTGTTTTTATTATCATCTGAATCAATATTGAGTTGTTTTGTGACACTAGTTCAGTTATATATTTATTGAACTACTTACAAAGTAAATAATATTTGCTTTTATATATATTTTTAGGTTGTCTCTAGTAGGAGCTGGTATACTATGCAGGTTAAATGTCCTGTATTGTACAAAGTTGCCTCCAAACTGTCTTTTAGTGATGTTTTAATATTGTTACCCCATCAAAAACAAACCCGGAGTTGTGTTTTGTTTGAGCAGTTCTTTAATCTATTAGTCTGTCAACATCTCAAAAGCTCAGAATGCTCCGTTCCACCTTATGATGTCATGTAGCGATAGTTTTCAAGATAACAGCCACATTTACTCTTTGTTCAGTAGAGATGGCCAATTCCAGCGCTTAAATGATCCAAATGATTTCTACTGAAGCTGAATGGAGTTTAATTATGTGTGATAAATGTGCGAATGAAACACAATGAAACACAACTCCAGGTATGTTTAAGATGGAAACAACTTTATCGCATAGATCAGAAAATGGCGTAATATGGCTCTTTAAGTGCCACTATATCATGGTACACTGCATGAGTTGTTTCCTAAAGAGTCAGAGGTTAAAAGAAAATATTTTAGCTATGAGCTCTTACATGATTAATGAGGCATAAATTTGTAAAGGTAAATAAACTCTGTCAAAATAAAACTAGTTTGGTGAATAACTCACACTGAGCTGCTGTGTACCATTTGGGGCATTCTGTATTCTTTTGCTCTATGTTATAATGTTGTTTCTTCATCACAAACAGACCTGGAGTTGTGTTTTGTTTCATTCTCACATGTTTAACACACAAACCCTGCGTATTTAATTCTTCTCTGAAACTAAAAACACCGTGTTCCAACTTGTGACGTCGAAACAGGAAGAGCTCCACTGTGCTTTTTAACTCCATACACCTTTACTAGAATCATTTGGATAATTTCAGACCTGGAATTGCCAATCTCTACTGAATAAAAGGTAAAACGTAGCTGGCAAAAGAGAAATTCAATTTGTCGACTGGACAAAAGTTTATTATGAGAAACAAAACGGCTACTTCACAAGAGGATGTACCAACACAGACGAGAGAGCAGTAGTGGACCTCAGTCTGCTGTACATCTCCACCGAAAAGCCACGGGCCACTCATTTGAGGACAGTGAGGTACAGATCCTAGTCAGAGAAGAGAATTGGTTTGAGAGTGGAGTTGAAGAAGGTATTTTTGTTAAGAAAGAGTAAACAGAAATAGAGGCCTCAGACATCAAACATCTAACTGCTATTTACAACTCTATCCTCAAACCTAAATCAAAACAAACAAGAGAACAATAGGTGTAGCCAGGTCAGGCCCAGAGGTTTGATAGCACCATTATGGCCCTGAATGATTCTGCTAACATGACTCCACACTCAGTGCAGTTCAATAGGCCTAGCTAATTAACAGAAACTGTAAGTGCGTTAGTTTCAGAGTAGTTATTTAGCTCGTCCCTGCAGGCAGATATCAGGAAGTGTCCACCAGCGTCTGACCAGAACTGACGAAGCAGCTTGGATGAGCTGTGAAACATATTCGACCAAATAAACTTTTGTCCAGTCAACAAATTGAATTTCTCCTTTGCCATGGATTCTACCTGGATGACTGAGGGATTTTTCACGTAAAAGGTAGCTGTAAACTTAAAAAAACTACCGCTTCGTGACATCACAAGTTGGATTAGAGCAGTTTGAGCTTTGGAAAATACTTGGATTCTTACTCAAACACATGTGAATGAAACAAAACACAACTGAGTATGTTCTTGATGAGGTAACAATATTCTAACATGACTTAAAGCTCACAAGAGGAGAACTGAGTATCATTAAGAAGTTGTCGATCGATACATATGCCACAATACAATACACTTTTCGATACAGTGCACTTACGATTCAGTACAAATCGATGCGATGTATTTCAAATTGATTCGATATGGTTCAGTGAAAAACAAAGGCTAATTCATGGCTGAGATACTAAAAGTCCACTAAGACTGTGCAAAGTTAAGATGAAAAACACCCATTTTACTCAAAACAGTGAAAATGTCAACACAACTGTAGCTCTTACACAAAATAAATATACCTAAAAATACTCTTGGCAATACATCGATACAGCAGCCCACGATATCGATACATTATCATTAATTTAAACGATACGATATGCTAATATTTCAATATTTTTGCATACTCCTTCACAAGAGTCAATTTTTCGTAATATGGGCCCTTAAAGAATGACTTCTCCTGGTCCCTCACGTCATATTTACAGTCAGTGTTATTCTTAGTGTATACTGTACATATGTTGGGAGTCTTTTTGACCTCAATAGGAGATTACTGGTGTGTAATCCCGGGCTTGGCTACTGGTCTCCTCAGGACAAACTAGTGCAGTTTTTACGCTTTACTGAACATCCTTCTCATTTGATCTTCTTCACCAAGCTGCAAGATAATAGACAATATTCAACGGTACGCACAAACCAGGAGCTTTAAGTTCAAGTTTAAAGGTGGATTGTGTAACTTTTTTGGTGCGCGGTCCGTCAACTGCCTGTTACTATTGGATTTGTCATTGCTCTGCCTGGAATGTTCCACAGTATGACATTAAACAGCTCTACCTTACATTTATTCAATTACAGCTGGTTTTACCTAGTGCCTCCATTCAATTTCATTTCTCTTCAGTGACGAGGTCAGGAATCAAAATACACTAGACGGTTTGCAAGAGTTCGGGCACCAGCCAACAGTGTTGGGAGTAACGCATTATAAACGTAACAATTTACTGTAATGCATTGCTTTTTGCTGTAACGCAGGAATGTAAGGCATTACAGGGAAAAAAGTGGTAATATTTTACTCAGTACAAATGTCAGTAATGCGTGTCACAGTGCTTTTTTTAACCTGGATTGAACTGGTGGGTTTTTCATTTTTCTTCATACAAATTTGCTAAAATCACTGCAATATCAGCAGCGGTGAAATGCCGGAGGTGTGCCCGCGTAGACCGTGATCGCGAGAGAAAAAACCGGCGCAGAACTCCATGCTCCAAGAAGCTAAACGCAGGTGATGCCCAATCACACTCGGGGGTTTTCTCAAGGGTGGCCCTAGAGTCCAAGTTCTAGTCCAAGATTAGCCCTGGTTTGGTCCTGGTTTAGGCAATGCAATAATAATGTAATGTCTTACATTTTAAATACAGTAATGTTGTAATGTAACAAATTACTTTGAAATGACAGTAACAAGTAATAAATTACGCATTACAGTTTTAAAGTAACTTGCCCAAGAGTGCCAGCCAAACAGCGAAAGACATACATTCTGTGTTGGCAACGATTCCCGA